CCACAAGTAAAAGGAGGCTCTACAAACCCAACGATCTTTTAGACACTGGCCATCTTTCCTCACTCTCCTATGATGACTATCTTCCTTGATGGGCAGCCTGTTAAAGGGTTGGTGGATATGAGTGCAAATACCATCATTTTAACTGAGGCAGAAGCACTCCATTTCTCACGTTGGAAATTTAAACCTGGCCCCCCAATTAGTGGAGTTGGGGGTCAATGAGATTCCAAGTTAACCACTTGCCCAGTCCATTGGAAGGTCCTTGATGGCAGTTGAGGAGCCATTCACCCTATCATCTCCACTGTAGGTAGAAACTTGTGGGGCAGGGATATCTTAGAGGATATGGGGGCTGTCCTTACAACAGATAATAGGATATTCTTTGATGATATTGTGGTCCATGAAAAAATGGGCCTTACTGGCTGAGACCTAGAGCAGCACCTGGGTCAATTCTAAGGGTCACTGTCACCCAAAGTCCAGCGCTACTAAAAAACCAGATCCTATTTCAATCAATTGGCTTTCTAACCAAGATGTATGGGTGGAACAATGGCCTATAATTGAGCCAAAATTATCAATATTAAAATACCTGGTGGAGGAACAATCATGTGCTGGATATATAGAACCATCCATCAGCAGCCATAATACTCTAATATTTGTTAATCCAAAAAAGTTAAAAGTATCATCTATTGGAAGATCTTTGTGCAGTCAATGATAAGATGGAACAAATGGTGTCAGCACAGCCAGGCCTCCCACATCCTAGCACAATTCCTCCTTCCCATTATATCACAATATTAGATATCGAGGACTGCTTTTTCCAGATTCCCCTAGCACAACAAGATAGGAATCACTTTACCTTTACAGTCTGGGAACCAAACATGCATAAGCCAGTAAAGAGATATCAATGGGTAGTTCTCCCACAGGGAATAAAAAACATTCCCTTAGTATGTCAGTTATATGTTGTTTAGGCTCTACTTAATGTTCCTAAGGATGTTGTGCTAGTACATATATGAATGATTTGCTATTGGCACACCCTGATTCAACTTATTTACAACAAATTGTTAAATCAACAATATAAGACTTAACTTCCTTAAAGTTAATTGTGGCACCAGATAATATCCAATTTGTACCTCCTTTTTGGTTTTGGGCTTTGTTATTGCTAAGGATGTTCACCCCTTGTCATTCAAATTAGATATAAAAGACAAATACTCCATTTCAAACTACAACAATTATGTGGGACAATAAATTGGCTTAAACCCTTTATCCCTACTCCAAAACTGGAAATGAGGGAACTATTCTCACTGTTAGAGGCTCCTACATGCCCCTCACAGAATTTCAAGTTCACTACTGGGGCTAAAAATGATCTAGAAAAGGTTCTTACTATACTATCCACCACCAGCCTGCAATGCCATAAGTCTGAGTTGCTCTTGTTGGCTATAATCCTGTGGACATCTGGAGGATTCCTGGGGGCACTCTGGCAGGCTGGTCCATTAATGTGCATTCATCAGGCATACTCAGATTTACATAAAGTTACTTCTAAGTTTGATTAGACATTTCAAATTGATCTAAAGGTGTGAATGCTAGCTCAAAAGACTTAGGAAGAGAACTTGATATGTTAATTTTCTCATTTTCCTTAAAAATACACAGACTCTCTGGGCAAATTCCATTTCCTTTCAAGAGATGATTACTGGGTTCATGGCAACAATTGACAACCATTTGAAAAAGTTGAGTACTAGCAGAGTTTCCAGTGCTCCTGATAGAGATACCCATTCACTCAGTACCATCATCTAAGCCCATTCCTTGCGCAACCATAGCTTTCTCAGATGCCAACAAGACTAAATATGGAATATTGATTCAGAAAAAGGGAGAAGACAAAACACATGATATTCCAAATCCTGATTCTATACAGCTGGGAGAATTATCAACACTTTTTAAAATCCCATTGGAGTGTCAAAATGTGCCTATTAACATCATTTCTGTTAGTCAGTATGCTTTACAGGTGAGAAGAATGCTGGTATTCTCAAGGGTTAAAGATACTCTAAATCCAATAGCCAGTACAATGCTTTTAAAGAAGATGTATTGAATCAAAGAATTAAGCCCAGGTATTTATCACATATTCGATCACATTCCAAACTACCACGAATCTTGGCTTGGGGAATGAGATAACTGATACCATCATTTTAACAGTGGCTGTAGATTTATTAGAACAAGCTTGAGAACTAGACCAGCAATTTCATTTGTCACCACAGGGCCTGCACAAATTGCTCCAAGAATTGCCAATTTTGCAATGCAATCATCTATCTAGGATCTGCACTACTTGTGTACCACTTGCTTCTTTAATGCTCATCCAAAGAGCAGGGGTAAATCCCTGTGGCTTATTGTCCAATGCTATACGGCAAATGGATATTACTCTTTATACATCCTTTGGCAATTTAAGATATGTACATGTTATAGTAGATACCTGCTTGGGCTTTATGTATGCCCTGGCCTTGCCTGGAGAGAAGGCTACTAATGTTATTAAGATATTCAAGTCAGCAATGCTAGTCATGGGAGTGCCTTGGACCATTAAGACTGACAATGGCACTGCTTATGTGTCACAGCAGCTAAATAACTTTGTGAGTTCATGGAAAATGTCCCACATCATAGGAATTCCATATAATCCACAAGGTCAGGCTATTGTAGAGCAAACTAATAGAACCCTTAAAGAGCTCTTGATAAAAAAATAATTTTCTAGCCGGGCGGTGGTGGCGCACGCCTTTAATCCCAGCACTCGGGAGGCAGAGCCAGGCGGATCTCTGTGAGTTCGAGGCCAGCCTGGGCTACCAAGTGAGTTCCAGGAGAGGCGCAAAGCTACACAGAGAAACCCTGTCTCGAAAAACCAAAAAAAAAAAAAAAAATAATAATAATTTTCTAAGAAGCCAAGAAAGATCCCAACTTGGCCCTGGTGGAAATTTTTTTTCATATTAATTTTCTCAAGCTGATGATACATAATTAAGCACCACTTACAAACATTGGGCTTACCTGTTTCGGGAGACACCATTGCCCCTGTAGCATTGGAGGGATCCCATCACCCTTCAATGGCAATCACTTTCTCTCCTATTAACCCATGGGTGAGGGTATGCTTGCATTTTTCCTCAGAATACCAACACACCAATATGTATTCCTTCCAGACATATGCATTTGGCAATGGACCAAGAGACTTTGGCCAAAGAAGAAGCTTCAGAGGGATAATGCATGCTCTTTTAACCCTTTATATTGTTATTTGCTCCACTATTGTGGCATTATTAAGGACATGTCATTACTGTCATGTGACCCTAGCTATCAAGTAATTTGCCCCACCCCCCCACAAGGTTGCTAAGGCATCATTAGAAAGACTTCAATTTGAACAATACATAAAGGGATCCTGGTCAGATAAGTTCCCTAATTACTCCATATTACATCAAGAACAAATTCATTGACTAAATATGACTAGGGTCCCAGCCGTGTCGTTAGAGACTGAATTTTTGACTAATGTCTAGAACAATATTGAAAGACTCTTTGATCCCTCCCAGATCCCCACAAATGCCTTGTGTGGCAGAATCATACTTTTAATCCTTCTCTTGCTCAAATGTCTTTTACAACAGGTTCACCAACAGAGGGTGGACACAAAGGCAGCCCCACAGTATTTATTGGCTCTAGACACATGAAACAAAGTCCTCCTAGAGAATTAATGCACATATGGCTCACTGAGATATAGAAGGCCTAAAGCCCACCACCTGGATGGCTCTCTAGGATTTATGTTCTTCAAGGGCTGATAGTCAATGATGGATAAGAGCTTGTTTGGCAGGCCAATCTAAGGCAGGCACAGTCCATTAAACTGAGCTCATCTGAGGTTAGGGCAATGCACCCTAGCTCCTACTGAGTATACCCCATAAAATAATGAAAAGGGTGGATATGTGGAATGACTCAGCCCTAATAGGCCTGAGGACCAGCTGGCACAAACCAATAATGAGAGCATGCACATGACATACTTCCTGAGAGCCAACCTGGGTCTGCCTAAGAGCCTAGACAATGGCATCTGAGTAGTAGCATGAGATGATTTGGACCAATGAGGGGGAGCCATGTCACATCAACAGATGCCTTTGCAACAGATGCCCCCACTGAGCAGGGTAGAGGGTATATAAAGCTTACCCCTTCTGAAATAAATTGAACTTGTTGTTGGTGATCTGACTCCTGGCATCTGTGTTGTTGATGCCTTGTCTTCTTACTCCCTTCCCCTGAGAAGCCCTTAGGACCCAGCAAAAAAAGTGATCCTCATATTTCCAATTCCTTTCTTCTTTGTTGACTACAACACATTTCCTTCTCTTAGGCTGGTTTCATTCCCTGTTGGTAGCGCTCTTCAGCAGGTATCCCATAGCTTTAGCATCTTCAACATTTTTGGATCTCCAAGGAAATCCAGGGTTTGCTTTCGCAGCTTCATACAATGGCCTCCTTAGTCCTCCATGCAGGCACACCCCTGATGCATACTTGGCTTCAGTGGGTTTCCTTAGTTACAGAATGAGCTTCCATAATCCCTTTCTTCTATCTTTGACTCTAAAGCCAGAATCATATGACCAAAGCTGCCAAGTTCTGTTGCTTGTTGGGACTGGAACATGGCCCCTTCATTTAATTACATCTTCACCCCTTTTCTGTTTTGCATTGTTTCCTTCACTGTCTAATTCTTGCTGTCCTGAAACTCAGTCTGCACACCAGCCTGGCCTCAAACTCAGAGATCTGCTTGCCTCTGCCTCTGGAGTGCTGGGATTAAAAGTATGCACCATCACACCCAATCCTAAGCTTTTATTTAATTCTTTTTCACAAGTTGGAAGCTTAGTTGAATGAGATCTTGCCTTGAGATCAACACTTATTCCATTTAACATCAGACATTTCTTTAATCTGTTTGTCTCTTTGAACACAGGATTTAGCTCCATCCCACTTCCTGGTGCCCCCTTTCTCCTCAAAATGTACATCTTGTATTTTTCCTTTATCAGCTTGCTCCTTTTCACTACATCATAAAAGTGAACACCAATGACCACATGGAAGAGTCAATACCAGACTATGTGGAGAGTTCCTTTGTCAACAGAATTAATATAAAACTCATCAACTTATCCTCCAGTAAAATTTTCAGACAAAGGAAAAAAGCAGCCACACTCTTTGCCAAAATATCCCAAGAACAGTCTCTAGGCCACGTACTAACACTCATCTCCTCTGAAAACTCTTGAGCCAGGTTCCCACAGTTCAGATCATCCTCAGCAATACTGTCTTTCATGTTCCTACTAGGATGGCCCATTAAGCCACTTAAAACATTCAAATGCTTTTCTAATCGAAAGTTCCAAAATCCACATTCCTGACCACAAGGAAGTTGGATTCATTGCAGGTACTGAGTGATCAATGTGCTTCTGTTTTACTTGGTCTAATATTGATGCAACATAGGAACCTTGCTATAAAACCCTAGGCTGTTGTAATGTGGAGACCCTACTTCATTACTCCTGAGGTAGAGTGAGCTGCTAACATATTATTGGATATTATTGTTTGCTGTGGGATGTCTTTTCTGTATGCTGTGAATATGTGTTTCTCCAATTCACTAATGAATAAAGTTGTTTTGGCCTATGGCAAGGCAGCTTAGAGGCAGGTGGAAAATCCAAGCAGAGAGACAGGAAGAAGAAAAGCAGAGAGAGATGCAAGCCTGCTGCCCAAGAAGTAACATGCCAGCAGACTGGTAAGCCATGGAACATGTGGCAAAACATAGATTAATAGAAATGGGTTAATTTAAGGTGCAAGAACTAGCAGCAAGAGGCCTGCCATAGACCACACAGTTTGTAAATAATATGAGCCTCTGTGTGTTAACTTGGGTCCAAGTGGATTCAGGACCACAGGAGGGAGAGAGTTGTCCTGACTGCAGGGTCAGGCAGGACCAGAGAAACATTCTGACTACAATTGCTGTTGTTGTTGTTGTTTAGATAAAAGTAAATGGTCTTCTGGTGCATTGTCAATGTCCCTCTGACATGCACAGACTTCATATCCTATTGCTGGGACTTCCTCACTCATGTTGAGGATACACTCAGCTCAGACACACTCTATGAAACAAGATTATCTTACTTATGGAATCTGAAGCCAAAATGAAGAATTTCCTGTGTTCTGGCAATGAACATCTAGAAAGAAGTACTTGGAAACAAGTTTCTGAAAATCCACCACTTACATGTCCACCTTAAAGAATCTAACATTGATTGGAAATAAGTAGAGTACAAACCTGATTTTTGCTTTCACCTGGCATTATATGGTAGTCTTGGGAACATGTGTCACATACTGAGATGTAGGGCATGAACCACAGTGAACATAATATCTACCTTATCTCATATTGACAACTGACTATGAGGATGTCCTTCCACTAAACTCTTGACATTGGTTAATTCATTAAATCCTGATGACAATAGTTTTTACTATTGTTTTTACTTTACAGATAAATAAGTATCTTTACTTCAATGAGAAAGGCTTTGCCAAACTCACATATGATGCAGGTCACAATTAATGAAAAGGGGAATTATAGTTGATTCCCTTGTTTTCTCTGGAATTCTTGCCAGTTAAGTTTGAGAATCTACCACAAAGCAGATGCTGTGATCTCCATTTTGCTGGCACTTAATGGAGTTCACTGCCTTCATTTACTTGAACTCAATAGCATCCCACACAATTGTTTCCTTAAAATTCCAAGGCTATCTCCTAAGAAATCAATAGCTAAACTTTCAATTCTATTACAGGATTTTTTGAACTTCACCACCTAACCAAGTTATTAATTTGTATATGTGTTATTATCTGTTGTTCTGGTTGATACCTTGAATTGTTGAAAGATAAATTCAATGGTTCTGGTTGAAATATTTTTCCTCAAAGGATTTCCTCTGTCATCATCATCATCATTACTTTAATTATTTATTGATTTACATATCAATTTTCAAACATTGAAGTGCTTCAAAACAATCACCCATAACATTCAATGATAAAATTTTGCCTCAAACTTCCAAACATAGTCTTCCAGTCACTTGCACATGGCAAAAAAGAGCCTTCATAAACAGTCAGTCATATTAGATAAAAAAGCAGCAACAAAGAGACAAACAAGCAAAACATTAATATATACAGATAGAGAATAAGCAAGTAAAATTTACTTTAATAAACATCTATATTCTTAGGAATTATAGATGAAATTAAAATAAATTTGAGATTTCATCTTACCATAGCCAGAGTGATGAAAATCAAGAAAACAGCTGACAAAAAATGCTGGTGAGGATAGGGTAGAAAGGCAACCCGTATTCACTGTTGATGGGTTTGAAAACTGGTGTAGCAATTCTGGAAATCAGTGTGGAGAATCTCCAACAAAGCTAAAGACAGATCTACTATATGATCCAGCTATATCAGTCCTGTCATTTTCCCCAAGGACTGGACATCCTACCTCACAGACACTTGCACATTTCCACTCTGCTTACAATAGCTAGGAAATGGAAATGTCTTAAATGTCCTTCATAAAATAAATGTATAATGAAAATGTGATACATATGTATAATTGAATTCTATTCAACTGCAAAAGAAAATGAAATCATGAAATTTGCAAGTTAGCAGATGCAACTAGAACATATCATATTCAGTGAGGATACCCAGACTGAGAAGGACAAACATCAAATATTCTCTTTTATTGTGTTTCCTATTTCCAAATATTTAGATGTGAATATATAACCTGAAGTAACCAAAGAAACTATTAAAATAAAAAGGGACCACATAGAGGTAGGAAGGGAGAGCTATAGAGAGTGTAACAGTAGCACATAGACCTTATGAGGAAGAAAATAGGAAAAATTAGGGGAGGTGTTTGTGGTGAGGAAGACAACTCTGAGGGAGCTGGAAAGAGGAGGAGTAAGGAACATCAAGGATGATTGAAGAAACCATGGGCAAATACATTTTAAGTTTTCTTAAAAATACATATAATATCTGTTAGTGTATATGTATAAATATATAAATAATTTAAGTAACCATATTCCACTTGTGGTGGTAATGCTTTCTCTAAGAGCCATTGACTATCTAACAAACTATCTAAAAACACCAGTGTCAGACATGAGAAACTGTCAGTTGTTGTTCTGGGCAGTCTAAGAGACTCCCAAAATAGCAGAATGTATTACAATTGTCTTTGGTTGCCTTCCAGAACTTGAAGATAAAGGCAAAACTAGATAACTGAAGACACCACACACCTGGGACACGTGTCTTAGAGGAATCGTGCTGGAACTGAGCTGGAAGCCTCTTCCTTGAAGATTGCATCTTATGGTATCACAAGAGGCTAAGCAACTTGCCAAGAGAGAGAAGCAATCTACAGTCCCTTTGAGCTATAAACCCTATCAACCACGTAACAACTTGACTGGCAACACATACACAATAGTGCAATAGTGGTACTTATTATCTTCAGGGTAGCGAGCAGCTGTTTAATTGGAATTGAGACCAGATCAACTGGAGGGAATTTATGCCTTGTACCATGAACCTAATCAATTATCTGTGGATAGAAAAGTCATAAACCTGAGAGGAGAATCTACTACTGCCATTTTTCTAAACCAATATAATTTCTAACTGTATTATAAATATTTATCCTCATACCTACAGATAAATGTAGTTTTCAACCCTCATCAAACAAGCTTCTTTTTGCAACAAATAGAAAATATTATAGGGGACCACAACTGGTCACACTGCAGAGAATAAGTGAGTTTGCAGTGTTCCACCCAAACTAATATATCTGCAATGCAGTCCTTGCACCTAAATCTCAAGGAAAAGGAGAAGGAGCAAAGAAGAACCAAAGACAAGATGTCTGCTTTAAGATAGTATCTTTTCTGTGTGACAGGAGCACTGCATCCATGAATGTTTAAAAATATGGTTACCTGACCAAGTCCAGCATAATGGTAATACCAGTTGACATGCCAGTGTGGACAGGGGAAACCCCACATGATCCCACCCTGAGAAGAACTTCAGGTGGTCAATGCCTGTTGAGAAAGGGAGAATTAGTTTCCTCAAAGGACAAGTTCCACATACATTGTCCAATCCCAAATGATCATCCCCAAGCATATGTACATAAAAGCAAACAAAACCTAAACAGACTCAGTAAAATATATATATATAACATGTGACACATATATACATAAAAATATGCATATACATATGAACATACATGTTATAACTATAATTAAAATGGTAATCAATGTGGTGCAGGAGTAGTTGGAGGGGAAGAGAAAGTGTAAAGAGTGAGTGATATAGATGCACTTTTCATGCATGAAGTGTCAAAAAAAGTAAAATTAAAGATCATGGGCTACCTTGCAGCAGACTAGTCACTTGTACCATAGTTCTGAAATCCTCCACATGAGGGAGCTCTTCACAGACTATGCCTTAAATAGAGGTTGTTGTTTTCTATCAATAAAGACATGCTTCCAAAACATATACATACAAGAAACATTATACAGACTGAGCAGGTGTATTCATGTTTTTAATAACACACACACACAAACAAACATACACATATGGATATAACAATAATTAATGGGGAGGAAATGCCATAAATTGGAAAGAAAGCTAGAAGGGGAATATAGAAGGGTTTCGAGGGAGAAAGGGGAGGTGGGGAATAATACATTGAATTTAAAATTTCAAAAATAAAATAAATAACTACAAAAAACCCCTCCATTTTTTCCTTAACCATGGGCACAGCTTCTTCTCCTAGTTCACACTCTTGCTTGTTTCAATTTCAGAATTTCTGAACCTTGACCAGTGCAGGCTCACACCTAGTACCTCTCTTTTTTTAAATTTATTCTCACTGCTTCTGTGGCCTCACCCATCCTTGAGGCTTCAAACATCCTTGTAGACTGGTGATTTCTACTTTTTTACCTTCTGTTGTTTGAATTCTAAAAGGTCTTTTAATAAAAAAATCCAGACCAGATATTGGGGTATATGCTGAAAGATCGGAGGGACAAAGGAACAATCCACAGCCACCACCTCTCACCAAATGCTCAACTTGAAAAGGCCTTAGCTGAAAGGGATGCTTCTGCCTAAAAGCCTTTAGTTTCTGTCTCTTCATGTCTTATATACCTTTCTCTGCTCAGCCATTACTTCCCAGAATTAAAGGCATGTGCACTTCCCAGTACTAGGATTAAAGGTGTCTGCCACCACTGCCTGGCCTCTATGTTTAATCTAGTGGCTTGTTCTGTCCTCT